AACTCCAGGATGAACATTTCCCATCAACCACCACCCTCTGTCTTCTTACAGCTAGCCAATTTCTGATCCAAACCGCTAAATCACCCTCAATCCCATGCCTCCGTATTTTCTGCAATAGCCTACCATGTGGAACCTTATCAAACGCTTTACTGAAATCCAAATACACCACATCAACCGCTTTACCCTCATCCACCTGTTTGGTCACCTTCTCGAAGAACTCAATAAGGTTTGTGAGGCACGACCTACCCTTCACAAAACCGTGTTGACTATCCCTAATCAAATTATTCCTTTCTAGATGATTATAAATCCTATCTCTTATAATCCTTTCCAACACTTTACCCACAACCGAAGTAAGGCTCACTGGTCTATAATTACCAGGGTTGTCTCTACTCCCCTTCTTGAACAAGGGGACAACATTTGCTAGTCTCCAGTCTTCTGGCACTATTCCTGAAGACAATGACGACATAAAGATCAAAGCCAAAGGCTCTGCAATCTCCTCTCTCGCTTCCCAGAGAATCCTAGGATAAATCCCATCCGGCCCAGGGGACTTGTCTATTTTCACACCTTCCAGAATTGCTAACACCTCCTCCTTATGAACCTCAATCCCATCTAGTCTAATAGACTGTATCTCAGTATTCTCCTCGACTACATTGTCTTTTTCCTGTGTGAATACTGACGAAAAATATTCAGTTAGCACCTCTCCTATCTCTTCGGACTCCACGCACAACTTCCCACTACTGTCCTTGACCGGCCCCAATCTTACTCTAGTCATTCTTTTATTCCTGACATACCTATAGAAAGCTTTAGGGTTTTCCTTGATCCTACCTGCTAAAGACTTCTCATGTCCCCTCCTGGCTCTTCTTAGCTCTCTCTTTAGGTCCTTCCTGGCTAACTTGTAACTCTCAAGCGCCCTCACTGAGCCTTCACGCCTCATCTCTACACAAGCCTCCTTCTTCCTCTTGACAAGAGATTCAACTTCTTTAGTAAACCACGGTTCCCTCACTCGACCACTTCCTCCCTGCCTGACAGGTACATACTTCTCAAGGACACGCAGTAGCTGTTCCTTGAACAAGCTCCACATTTCAATTGTGCCCAGCACCTGCAGTTTCCTTCTCCATCCTATGCATCCTAAATCTTGCCTCATCGCCTCATAATTGCCTTTCCCCCAGCTATAACTCTTGCCCTGCTTTATATACCGATCCCTTTCCATCGCTAAAGTAAATGTAACCGAATTGTGGTCACTATCACCAAAGTGCTCTCCTACCTCCAAATCTAACACCTGGCCTGGTTCATTACCCAGTACCAAATCCAATGTGGCCTCGCCTCTTGTTGGCCTATCTACATACTGTGTCAGGAAACCCTCCTGCACACATTGGACAAAAACTGACCCATCTGAAGTACTCGAACTATAGCATTTCAAGTCAATATTTGGAAAGTTAAAGTCCCCCATAACAACTACCCTGTTACTTTCGCTCCTATCCAGAATCATCTTTGCAATCTTTTCCTCTACATCTCTGGAACTTTTCGGAGGCCTATAGAAAACTCCCAACAGGGTGACCTCTCCTTTCCTGGTTCTAACCTCAGCCCATACTACCTCAGTAGACGAGTTGTCATCAAACGTCCTTTCTGCCACCGTAATACTGTCCTTGACTAACAATGCCACACCTCCCCCTCTTTTACCACCTTCCCTGATCTTACTGAAACATCTAAACCCCGGAACTCACAACAACCATTCCTGTCCCTGCTCTATCCATGTCTCCGAAATGGCCACAACATCAAAGTCCCAGGTACCAACCCATGCTGCAAGTTCACCCACCTTATTCCGGATGCTCCTGGCATTGAAGTAGACACACTTCAAACCACCTTCCTGCCTGCTGGTACACTCCTGCGATAGGGTTGAAACCTTATTTATGACCTCACTACTCTCAACCTCCTGTACACTGGAGCTACAATTCAGGTTCCCACCCCCCTGTTGAATTAGTTTAAACCCTCCCGAAGAGCATTAGCAAATTTCCCCCCCAGGATATTGGTACCCCTCTGGTTCAGGTGTAGACCATCCCGTTTGTAGAGGTCCCACCTACCCCAGAATGAGCCCCAGTTATCCAGGTATCTGAATCCCTCCCTCCTGCACCATCCCTGTAGCCACGTGTTCAACTGCTCTCTCTCCCTATTCCTCGCCTCGCTAGCACGTGGCACGGGTAACAAACCAGAGATAACAACTCTGTTTGTTCTGGCTCTAAGCTTCCACCCTAGCTCCTTGAATTTCTGCCTTATGTCCCCATCCCTTTTCCTACCTATGTCGTTGGTGCCTATGTGGATCTTCACAGGTCTCATTCTTAATGCTCTGCAAATTTATGGGAGAAAGTCACAATCTAGATTTAAATCTAAATGTCACAAATGCTCAGACCAAATAGTTTTGCTTGCAGTTTGTAGCCTTTAATAGAAGTCGGTGCAGGAACGGGCAGCCGACCAAATGGGTTATATAACATTTGCAAATTGGCAGCAATTCATACTTATATAAGTTTGATGCATCTCCGATTCTAATTACAATTCATTTTCAGCACTGGCCCCTCCCATGTTTCTTGATTAATTAAAGTTACAATCTGATTTCCCCGTTATGATCCAAAAACCTAATAATTTGTTCATGGAGTTAAATTCTACAGTTTCTTTTAAAGCCCTGGAGAAACTAAATCCCACAGGCTTTGGTTGTTCAGCCTGCATAGACCTCATGCCTTCTCTTTGCTGCAATGTGTGATATTTCTATATCTGGTCGTACTTTTAGGCAAGACTTGCCTTCTTGAATTTGGCAGGACAGGCAGTTTGGAAAAGTCTGTTTTCAGCACTCTGATCTCACTGGAAACGGTTCTAAAGCTATCGATCGAATGCCAGAATGGAGAACAACTCTTTATAGATCGCACAAACTGCAATGATTCAGAAAAATGGCTGACCACCACCTCCTCAAATGGCAATTTGGGATAAGCAACAAAATGCTGGTCCTGCCTTTGACAACACCATCCCACAAATTAATTATTTTTAATAAAATCATGTAGGATTAAAGAACTTAATTACATTTTTCCAAACTTTTTTTTTGGAAATGTGTTTGTTCTTGAGATCAAGGTTACTTTGAGGGAGCAGTATTATGGTCTTAATGGCATTGTCAACTACAGCATGTGAATAGCCAGAAACAAAAAACAGAAATTGCAGAACAAAAAGATCCTGGGCTTCCAGTTGCCTGCCCCTTCAACACACCACCCTGTTCACTGACCAAACCTGCTCTCAGACTTGCTGCAGTGCTCCAGTGAAGGTCAGCGCAAGCTCGAAGAACAACACCTCATTTCACAGCCTTCGGGACTGAATATCAGGTTCAATGATGTTAGAGTTTGAGCTCTCCCATGTCCTTACCCCAACATCAGGCCTTGTTATGACAGTCTGCTATTACACACAATCCATTGTTAGTCACTAATGGGCCTCATTAACAGCTATACACCGTCCTAACCAGATTGTTATTCACTCCTTTGTCTGCCCAACTGTTCTCCTCTCTCTTTGGGCTCTATCCCCACCTATCATTTACTCCTTACCTCCTTCCTCCCACCCTATCTTCTGCATAAAAAACATATTCCTAGCCGCCATCAGTTCTAAGGAAGGGTCACTGGACCCGAAATGTTAACTCTGATTTGTCTCCACAGATGCTGCCAGACCTGCTGAGCTTTTCCAGCAGCTTCTGTTTTTGTTTCTGATTTACAGAATCCGCATTCTCTCGTCTTTTTTTTGAATAACCAGAACAGACTGGAGTTCCTAATAGATATTAGTAAATCTGTGGGGATTTTACAACAAACTAGCAAATTTAATGACAATCTTCTGGCACTAGCTCAAGAATGACCAAATTTACTGGATTCAGTTACACCAATTACAATGGCAAGATTTAATTTCTTGGAATCATCATTATTAACCCAGTATCAGAACCTGTGCTGTACTTCAGGAACTGTACAGCAACAAAATACTGCCTCTCATTAGTTTGAAACAGTAACGAATGATAACGGTGGAACACCTCAATGGACGATGGAAGAGGATTTTAAGAAATATCTAAGCATTCCCACACAGAGGGAGAGAATATATTTTTAATTTTAATTAGGAACAAAGAGGGCTGGGACCTGCCTTATCTTGAACAGCCAATCAAAACTTGGCAAAAACAAAGATCTTCATTTACTTAGTGCTTTTCACAATCTCATGTCGTCCCAAAATGCTTTACAGTGAACCAAGTACTTTAGAAATGTAGTTAGTGTTGTAATGCAGGCAAAGCAGCAGATAATTTGTGCGTAGCAAGTGCTCACAAAACACAGTACGATAACAAGTTAATCTATTTTAGGGATCTTGATCGAGCGATAAATATTGGTCAGGACATTGGGGATAATTCCACTGCTAGTCTTTGAAAGAATGTTGTGTCATCTCTTACATCCACTCAAGCAAAAAGATGGCGTCTCTGTTTAACAGACCACCTAGAAGATGCCATCGCAAGTAATGCAGCATGCCAAAAAAGTACTGCACTGGAGGGTTAGCCTAAATTTTTTGTGCTGAAATCCCAGAGCGGGACATGAACCAACAACAGCGTGACACAGAGCTGACAGTACTGCCAACTGAGCCCCTGTTGACACCTATCAAATGCCCAGCAACCTTAAAGCTCCTATGAATCAATCTCATGAAGCAGGCCAGGATCAAACTACAGCATCTACATTTATTATATTTTATTATAAGCAGCTCCAACATTTCATCCAGGCATTCTGCCACGGACATGTGGTAGAGAAAGTGCTACTAAAGTTAGCATGACACATTGGAGAGTGAGATGCTTTGTTAAATGCTTCATTCGTATATACAGAAGTCAGCAAAAAACAGCAATAATCGTGCTCAAATTCATTTAGCAAGAGGGCTCGTACCATTGGCTCAAGTAAGTTGACAGAGAGAATACCAAAAGATACAAATATAATTTTCTGCAATGTACTCACTTCAAAACGATGGACGTTACCATTCGACAGTTTTAACTGCATCAGTATAGCAGGCTGCAAGGCACGGGTCAAAGAACTACAAACAGAAAATCAGCATGAGTGTCTGAATAAATAGGAACTAATCATTTGCTCTAGGTTGAAAATTATCCGAAACCAAAATCTGCACAGAAAGGTTATGGTGCAGAAAGAGGCCATTCGGCCCATTGTGTGTCAATGGGAGAAAATGAGTCCCCCATTTTGACCCCACCCTCCATCATATGGCAAAGAGCCTTGGAGATTACAGCACTTCAGGTGCATATCCAGGTATCGTTTAAATGAGATAATAACATCCACCTCTACCACCAAACAGGACAGCAAATTCAAGACACCCACTGCTTTCTGGGTGAAATAGTTTTTTCTCAGGTTCCCTCTAATCCTCAATTAACCATGTTAAATCCGTGTCCCCTGGTAACTGAACTGTCCACTACAGGAAACAACTTTTTGCAATCCTCTCGGTCCAAGCATCTCAACTTTTTTACCCTGCAATTAAGTCAATGCTCAGCCTCTCCTGTTCAAAGAATACAAACCTAGTTTTTTCAACACTGCTGCCTCACAGCGCCAGGGACCCGGGTTCAATTCCAGCCTTGGGCGACTGTCTGTGTGGAGTTTGCACATTCTCCCCGTGTCTGCGTAGGTTTTCTCCGGGTGCTCCAGTTTCCTCCCACAGTCCAAAGATGTGCAGGTTAGGTGGATTGGCCATGCTAAATTTCCCGTAGTGTTCAGGGAGGTGTAGATTAGGTGGGTTATAGGGGGATGGGTCTGGGTGGGATGCTCTGAGGTTCAGTGTGGACTTGTTGGGCCGAAGGGCCTGTTTCCACACTGTAGGGATTCTTTGATTCTATGATAATTGCAATTGTTATGTGACTGCCCTTCAAAACTTCATCAGATGCAAAGAGCTTTGAATGCATTAAGGTCAAGAAAGGCGCTACAGAAATCCCCTGCCGTACAATGCAACCCTTAACATCTACCTCTTCATGGTCACCTATCCCAGTAACTTGGTTCAAGGCATTGGGTCTAATTTTGTTTCATTGCACTCACTGAAGCACCTGGAGGCCATTCGCTATGGTAAAGCTGGTGTATATATTCAAATTGTTGCTGCTAAGAATGTTGTGCTATCCTTTTTCACCTGCCAGTATTCACAGGATTAGACAGGAAGATTGGAGCATCAATAGAAGCTTGGGCAGAGGATAGTTGGGTGGAAAAATGATGTTCATTGACTGAAAAGTGAAATGAAGAGGCAGAAAAAAAAAGGTGAAAATGCTATTTTACCTGGAAGAAATAGCCACATCAACTCTCCATCTGAAATCTTGAAGAGTTGGCAATCGAGTCCGGTTTTGCAAGGCCGCAGTCTCCAATACTGACCGCCTAAAAGCAAAAACAGTGTTGCATTTCATAAGACCGTTAAATTAAGAAGTAGGAGCAGTGGCTTCTTGGGTGTGTTTCACTATTCAGTGGAATCACAGCTAACCTGACTGCGTCCTTAACTGTATGTTTCTGCTGATCCCTAATGACCCTCAACTCACTTGTTAATAAAACAACTGTGTCTTATTGAAGCCTTGAATATATTCAATGACAGCCTCCACTGTTCACTGGGCAAGGCAATTCCAAAAGCTGAGACACCCACGTACAAAGAAACTTTCTTCTCATCTCAGTCTTAAATTGGAGACAGCCGATTTTAAAATGTCACCTAATTCTAGACTCATCCATGAAGAGAAACATCCTCTCAGCATCTATGTTTCAATGGATCCCCTTTATTTTTGTCAACTCCAATGAGTATCAGCCCAACCTATTCAAGCTTTTCTCCTGAGATAAGACCATAAGACATCGGAGCAGAAATTAGGCCATTCAACCCATCCAGTCTGCTTCCCCATTCAATCATGGCTTATAAGTTTCCTCAACCCCATTCTCCTGCTTTCTTCGTTGATCCCCTTGACAATCAAGAACTTATCTATCTCCATCTTAAAATATACTCAATGACCTGGCCATAGATTCCATAGATTCAGTGCTCTATGGCTGAAGAAGTTTCTCCTTATCTCCATTCTAAAAGGT